ATCTTGGTACGCATTCAGAACATCTGGCTTCGCCAGCTGGCTAGTGTCAATCCGTTCACATCGACGTTGCGGACGTCCATCGAAACGCACCAGGAGGTCGGCACATACAAGTGCGTGGTCAGAGTCCACGCTCGTGCTCCAAATCGAGCGACAGTTTTGTACACAGCCTCTCCAGCGGTAACTGATCGCGATGTGATCGATTTGTGTCCATGACTGGCCCGAGGCTGGTGGCCGCCAAGTCACACTTCTGCGGCTGCTGTGTCGAAAGTTAGTGCTCGCGAGAAAGAGGCGAGCATTTTCACACAGCTGTAGCAATCGCTCACCATTATCATTACGGGAGCCGACACCATGTTGGCCGCCCTGATGAAGCTCATCAGAGGACAATTTCCCGACTTGGGCTTTTAGATCACCAGCCAACACCACAGTATCCGTGTTTCTTCTGTAACGAAGGATCTCGTGCAGTTGATGATAGAAATCATCTTTTACCGAGTCAGTGCTACAGTTTGTAGGGGCGTAAGTCGCAATGACTTACAGGCACCGTTTGTCCCCGCGCGACTTCGTAGCACGGAACGAACCAGCTAATCTAACGGCGCACATCCTACTGTTTACTGGGATCCAGTCAATCAGGGCAGCTTCAGCCCGGGGACTCAAAACAATGCCGACGCCAGCTTGACCGGCATTTGAAGCTGCATCATCGCCAGATAGGCGCAATGAGAATGTGCCGCCAGTGTCGCATGTGGGGGATCTCAGGGTAAGCACGGAGCTCGAACCTTGCAGGCGGGTTTCTGATAAACAGCAAATATCAATCGATAGGGTCTCTAGTGTGCGGGCAAGTGCTGCTTGTTGGCCAATCTGCAGCAAAGTGCGCACGTTGAGGCATGCCAATCTTAGCGAGACACGAGGACTCCAAAGGGAAACGGATGAACTGACGTTGTCCGCTTGGTTGAACATGGACTTGTCGACTGGATTGGAGCGAGGCCCTGCGATTGTGTGTGATTTGAAATTAGCAAACAAGCGACTATTGAAGTAAGCTGGGGGAGGGCCAAAAATTGGATGATTGAAAATGGGAGGATATAAGTAAAGTTGGAGCGGGACAATAAGGATGCAGAAGCGCAAGAAGGGGTATAAGAAGACGGGAAGGCCTGAGCAGTAGCATCCAAACCCCTATCCACCCTGCTCGATGCAGCAGATAGGGCGCCGTTTATTATCCTCCGCGACGGCCAGAGCATCAAGAAATTGTTTAAGGAAAGGTTCATTGTATTGTGTTCGTGTGGAGCACCGTATTGATGATGGGTTGCTGAACATCCGTCGTTACGGTGCGAGAACCCTAGTCTGTGAGACAACTATCCGTATGTTGCTGTTCGCTGACGACTTGTTTGTTTGCACACAGTGCGGATGAGTTGCAGCACATGACTAGTGCTCTGGCTTCGACAACGACCAAATTCGGCCTCACCATCAACACAAGCAAAACGGTCTGTCTCCTTTAGGCTTCACTGGAGGTACAATCTTCAGTATTGCCGCACATCAGCATTGGTGCTGAAGTATTAGAAACCACCTCCCGCTTTTGCTACCTTGGGAGTGTGATGTCGATGGACCAGCAGCTTCACAGTGAGTTTCGTATCCGCGTCTCGAAGATAGCGGCGGCATTCGGGAAGCTAGAGTACCGAGTGTGGAACAACCATCAGCTTACCATTGGCACGGAGCTGTTGGTGTACAGATCCATGGTGCTGTCCGTTTTTCTATACAACATCGAAACGGGGACGATGTACTGGCGGGATGTGCGGTATCTCGAGCGGTTCCATCAACAGTGCTTGCGACGGATTCTGCACATTGGATGGGGCGACAGAATTGCGGACACGGAAATGTTGCGTCGTAGTGGAATGTATGCAGTGGACTGCATACTTTTGCTAAGACACCTGAGGTGGTTCGGTCATGTTTGGCTTATGGATGCGGCCCATTTGAACAGTTTGTTCCAAACTGCAAGAGCCGACCACTTTCCAAAGGACCCCCATGGATTGATAAAGAAGTAAGATCCCTAATGAAGGGTCGACGAAAACTATTTGATCATTTCAAGAGCAGAGGACTGACATCAAGCTACTTAGAGTACAAAACTGTCAGAAACCTATGCACCCTGAGAAAACGAGACAAAAGACCACACTATGAACATGGACTGGCGATGGAATCCCAAAACTCCCAAAATACTTTTTGCCTACTTGAAGCGAAATGCCAAAACTGGTAGTGGAATCCCCGCTCTATCCTCTTCTAAGTAAGGTACCGTTCTCTACGGCGATGATGAAAAAGCAAACCTATAGGCTGCGCAATATTCCTCTGTCTACTCAGTGGAATAACCTCTGCTCAACAACTGTTTGCCTGCACACTACTCCTCTTTGGACCAAGTTGAAATTAACCCCGAAGTATTCACTAACCTACTCCTCGAACTGGACCCGAACTCCTGCCCAGGCCCAGACGGATTGCATCCTAGCTTCCTCAAAACGATAGCTGAGTACGTCGCCGCCCCTGTCTGTCAAGTGTTTCGGCAATCCTTCGAAGTCGGCCGCCTACCCACAGGCTGGAAAGCAGGTACCGTCCTGCCCAAATACAAGGGGGGAAACCAACAAGACCCAGCCAACTACCGGCCAATATGTCTGACATCAGTCGTATGCAAAACCATGGAACGAATAGTCAAGTGCGCCCTCCAGCTACACTGTGTGGATGTAAACCTTATCTCACCTGCTCTACATGGCCTCCGGAGAGCACGTTCATGCATCACTAACTTACTCATCGCCAGGGAAACATGGGCAGAAGCCATAGATGCCCGAAAACAGGTTGATGTAATATTCATTGACTTCAGCGAAGCCTTTGATAAGGTTCCGCACGTACGACTGCTACATAAAGTTCAGGGAATTGGTATTACAGGAAATCTCTCCTGGATTGCCGATTTCTTAAGAGGTAGGACAATGCGCGTACAAGTAAACCAAACCCTCTCTGCGCCAGTGCCTATGACTAGTGGCATTCACCAAGGATCAGCGCTTGGGCATTAGCGATTTGCCGACTGCACTTCAAACCGACTGCTTGATCTACGCCGATGACTTTAAGTTATGGTCAACAGTATCCAGCATTGAGGATGCGGACAGATTACAAGGGGATCTAGACCAGCTACACGAATGGTCCATCAAGTGGGAACTGCCAGTAAACTGTTCTTCCAATGGGTAGCACTGAACCGTGCGGTGCATACCACATTGGTGGGTTTCTCCTCAGGAATACCACCCACGAGAGAGGTCTCGGGGTTATCGTGACTTCTGATCTTAGGACGACGCAGGACACGTTGAAGAAGGTGGCCACTGGAAGGAGATTGGTGAGTGCCTTAAGAAGATCATTCACTCAAATGACTCCTGAGATTTTTTGACCTTTGTTCACTTCGTTCGTCCGTCCAGTCTTAGAATATGGCCTACCAGCTAGCTATTTGCTTTCAAACTTTGAATGCGCTCTGCTGGAAAAGGTTAAGAGACGTGCATCGAAAGCTGTTCTGGGGCTTCGTGATCTCCCTTACCCCATTCGACTCCAGCAGCTAAATCTGTTCTCTCTCGAGCTCCGCCGTCGCCGGGGTGATCACATCTACACGAGGCGCATCCTCTGAGGGAACTTGGAAGTGAGCTACAACAATTCTTCCGGCCCAACACCGACTGCTCCACACGAGGTCATACATGGAAGCTGTTTAAGCAAAGAAGACACAGAATTCGCATGGACGTCACCCTATCCACTGAATTGGTGAATGATTGGAACAGCCTACCGGAAGAAATTGCAGACACTCCATCCGAGGAAAGTTTCAAGCGGCTGATAGACAAACATTCGCTGAGAATGCTGGAATCTTGCGGCTGTCACTGTAATTGCGACGAACCCTCGAGGAACGTCGTAATGCAACGACACGCATCAAACCCAGTATGATACGGAATAGATGGGGCTGACAAGGGATTTCCCTCCTGCTCTCTACAACTCAATGAATGAACTAATCACCAACCGTCAACCATCATCATCATCATCAACAGCAGTACATCAGCCATTTGAACTGATGCTTCGCTGCCATACAACCATGAGGACCTATGAAATATAGAATAAGAAGAGGGAGAGAAGGGGGACTTACCTGAAAACCTTAATGCCCTAAGCAAACATTCAGGGTCAAGGCGCCTACACCTTGTGTAGACAACATACCGTCACAAACAGCTGGCTATCGTGCAAAGATAAGGCGGCATCGGCGAGACAGCTTCCTTGCGGCTTTCACTGCCACGCGTCATAATCAGCCTTTACCCCGCAGATAACTCAGCACCAAACACACTTTAAACAGACAATCCGATTAGGAGACGGCAGCAGACGCGCCACTGGTGTCGGTTGCGAGCCATGTCCTGTAAAGTCTCGAGCCAAGCACAAGGTGAGTCACGTGGACTCCAACCCGGAAGGCGAGACGGACCAACGGCACGCAGTTTGGTTGTCAGTGACTTCATTTCCCGCTGCCAAGTCAACTTCTGTCCACCTCGAACCTTGCGCCAACCAACACCTGGTAGACTGAACAAGGCCCTCCTAGGTAAGCGGTGACCAGGCATGCGTAGCACGTGCCCGAGCCAACGTAACTTATTCATTGCTATCTGTTGTTCTAGGGAGCTAGCATGATTATCACCACCTAGTACTCGCCTACGCACATCATCGTTGCGGACACGCTGGTGCCATCCGACACCAGCAATGCTTCGCAAACAACGATGATCAAAGACTTGAAGGCGCCTCAGATCTTCAGACCGAAGGGGCCAAGTTTCACTACCATAGAGCAGAACGGCCCTCACTGTGGCCTTGTATACACGGCCTTTCAGACGGGGGGAAACTCCTTTCTGTTGTCAACCATAGATCACAAACTGCCTTGTTTTCATGTTTCTTGGCATAGTCATATATTCACAGCTTGATCGTCAATTCCATTTTTAGTCCCTTACCGTACTCCGTTTGTTGGGTTTTAGCTCATCGCTCTTTAAACTATACATGACGTCTGAAATTGTGCCAAACCTCGATAAGATTCCCGCTTTCGTCGATCGAATCGTGGTTTCTGGAGTTGCAAGAACTGATGAATCGTTGTTGAAGAAGCAGGTGATACTGTTCTATCTTATCAAATTTGTACAAACGAGCAGTTCCGGACTTTAATAAAGTCGGACAATTTAAATGATCTTTTCGAAAACGTACGAGATGCAAAAGAGCGATTAACCAAACTTGGAGTTTTTCGTTACGTGTTTGCCATCGTGGATACCGCTGACGATCCGGCGAAGTACAAGGTGAGCAATCGTTTCTTCTGCGCTTCCTTTTACTGTCATCGTTTGAAAGCTGTTTTTTTGAGTTTACTCAACCTATGCTTAGTGGTTATTGATTAGAAACAAAACAGTCTATTGCAACTAAGTTCTTTCGTTGATGTAGATCTTAACAAACCATACGCCTGTCAGCATTAGCCGGTCCATAACCTAAAGATAACTAACTTGCCTTGTAATCTAGCTTCGCGGGTTCGAGCCTGCGTAGGGGAGGCGTGACCCGTGGAGTGTTCTTAGCCCGCCTACGACTGATGGTTGCGCGACGGCGAAGTGTCGGTACTGCGTACCGACGTACTGCTAATGCCTTTCTTTCTTAGCAATTTGCAGCGTTCAGAGTATGTTAACGTCTGAGTATAGCCCAGGATCTGTCTTTTAGAAGCACAATGAACGCGCTCTAGTGCTGCTGTATTGCATTGCCGGATACCATATATTAGTACTCTAACATTGGGCGTGCGCAAGTCTTGTGCAGTGTAAGTTTAGCATTTGTTGAGGCAAAGAGTTTGAGAAACAGTGCATTCTTTTTCTTGGCTTTAGCGAAATGTGCGTGTTCGGAGAAGTTGAGGCTGCTGGAATAGTGAAGCTCTAAGTATACAGTCATTGTGGATATGGCTGCAGTACGGGGCGTTAGAAATATGCTTTACTTTCAGCTCAAGTGAGTTCCGAGGATCAGGACACTTTACTATATCAATCCTTGTATGCAACTCAGTAGTTTGAAGGTACACAATATTTCGAGTGGTGGTAGGGGTCACAAGGTTTCCTAATGCATAACTACTATTATTTGATCGCACATTATCTTTTTGGTTACGCTTTATTTGGTTACCTGGTGTGCTACTGGAATAGTCCATATCGACGTCCAGTAGTTGGGGTACCGAGACTGATGAGTCAAGCCAATGCGCTGGAACCTGGGCGGACAGTTCTTTCGACGTGAAATATTTGTCACATTCATGTAAAGCACTTGGATCCTGACAATGGTCTTGTACTTTTTGTTTTACTTTAGTAAATTTATTGCGTTTCGAACAATGGGAAGTTAACTTAGTCGCATAGCTAGGCGTTATTGCACTGAGGATAGCTGTTTCAATCAGTGCTTTGGTCGGATTAGTTGCCGAACTGATCTTGAGAGGAGCCACTCTGTCTCCTTTGACGTCGTTTTGACTGATATTTTTAAATATAGGACTGACTGGACTCACCGTGTCGCTAAGTATCTCAAGAAAAACGTCGGCATTCATGATAGTAGCTATGTCGAAACCAGTGGCTTGAGAGTCTTTCGGTGGCGGCAGTGGCTGACTTCGCCAGACTTCTCTTTGCAGGGCGTTTTGTCAATCGGTATCTTTAGTCTTTTGGATGTAGTGTTTTCTGCTATCTGCACACCTTTGAGGAACTCATTTGCCGCCAATGCGTCGCTAAATTGAAAGACTACGCGACGGTTTTTGCGCTGGATGTTCTTTGGGAGCCTTGTACATTTGCACCGTGTGTCTACCGCATCACATGCTTTAAGCAGGATTTTTGTAGTGTTTCTACCGGCACTCTATCGGGTAAATTGAAAGCCACTGCGTTTTTAGAACATCGTATTCCACTAAACATTTCTGTTGCATCAGCATCAATAAAGATACCGACTGGTGTTACATGATTTCTGTTCGGGCTTGCCGTCGTTTGCAGTAGAATAGTCCGAGGTTCGAGCATCTTGACTATCGTCACCAAGTGATCAAAAGATGCCAGTTTTATTTTGTGTCTGTGCAGCTCCTCCTGAATACATTTGAACTTAGTCCATGTTCACCAGACTTTGCTTGAATCAGGTAAATCATCATGTGATAAATCCACTAGCAAAAATAGACATTGGGTCTTTTCGCAGTCTCTGGAACTTATCGACTCCAGCCGGCATATTCCGGCTGGAAGCGAACACGAGACTCGTAAAGACATCCGGGTTTAAACTGCGTGCTAGCCTGAACAGAGACCGTGAAGCGTGGTGGTCTCATCGTGCGTAGCAGATGGAAGTAACCGCTGCCCTTGGTCACCATCGGAAGTTGTTCCGTTTGATACGGTAAACGGACAGCAGTAGACCTGGTGTTAGTGAAACCACACGTGACGAAAGTGAACAGCCTATCCACAATTTGCCAAAACGTTTGAAGCCTTGGCCTGAGCATTTTCAAAAGTAACTTAATCGACCAGAATTGTTAGATCCCTCACCGGCCAGTGATCGCTCTTCTCCCTGGCCTGTCCCTTCTGATCCGCCCTCTCGCTCAGCAGTCGAACGTGAAATCAAACTGTTAAAGTTACATAAAGCCGCGGCACCAGATGATCCTCATCCAGCCCTTTTTAAATTCGAAAGGCCAGTTCTTGTTGACGATTTACACGAATTACTGGTGAAATCTTGGGAGCAGGAAACTGTCCCAACTGACTGGAGCCGCTCCGTTACTGTCCCAACCTTCAAAGGAAGCTTGAGGCATCAGTCTGATCCCTATCGCCTCCAAATTACCTGACTGACTGGCGACCACGAAAACCAGATTCGTTAGGAGAAAGCCAAGTTTAATCGTGGTCGGCGCTGCGTCGACTACATCTTCACTTTGCGTCAGTTGTTGGAGCATCGTCACATATATTGGCGGCCGACCTTTGTCATGTTCCTCGACATCAAAGAGGCCTCCGGTTCAGTGGATCAACCTGCTCTTTGGGACTTTCTGTTAAGGAAGGGTGTGCCAGACGTACGTAAGTATTATGCGGGGGCTTTATGCGCGTATCTCGGGCAGAGTAAAGGCTTACTGCAAGCTGTCGCCGCCCTAGCGGTGTAAGACAAATATACCGGCCGTCACCTTTCCTCTACAACTTTGCTATTGACCAAGTCATGTGGATTGCCTTCATAGGACACGATTTAGAAGGTGTGGAGCCGCTCCTAGATGAACAGCTTCTTGACTTGAAGTATGTTGACGACATTACCCTCATCTGTGACAGCCCTTAAACGTGCCAAGCGGCATTGGACAGATTAGCACTGGCTGTCACCCGTTTCGGGTTATGCTTTGCACCGTCAAAGTGCAAAGCTTTCCTTCAAGATTGACGGGGACCGCCTCCTGCGCTGACCTTTGGTAGGGATCACCTGGAAGTCGTTCAAAAGTTCTACTATCTAGGTAGTTGTATCAGCGCCGTTGGAATTGAAGACGAGGTCACAAACCGTATAGCAAAAGCTCGAGGCGCTTTTGTTAACCTACGGCGCTGACGCGACACCACTCTGAAGAGTAGAGTATACAATGCAGCGGTACGTTCGACCCTACTGTACGGTTGTGAAACCTTGCCCCCTAGATCAGTGGACCTAAAGAGTCTTGTTACGTTCTACCACCGGTGCCTTCTCAGTTTGGCTCATATGTGGTGGGAACACCTGGTGAGCAATGAGCGTGTTCGAGGCCTTGTTTATGGCGCAAGAAAAACAAGCAAACCGCTCAGCACCGTTATATCACGCACCAGGCTCTGATGGCTCGGTCATACGTCGCGCATGCCAGGCCACCGACTCCCGCGACGTGCTGTTTGCGCGCCGTGGGTGTGGATGGAAGAAGAGGATAGGTAGCCAAGCGATGACTTGGTCAAGAGGAATGAAGGCCCTTACTTCGAAGTTTGACCCGGTTGGAGCCCCTCGGCTCTCTGATTTGGGACCGAACGTTGATGAACACGTTTGGTTGGATACACTTGTTGACATGGCTAGGAGCAGACCTCAGTGGCGTTTGTGTTGTGAGTTCTTTTGTCCACCCCCCTTCGCTTAGCTTTACCTTCCAAACACGATTTCATTCATGGACATTATATAACCTTTTGCGTCACAGTAGCTGGATGTTAGCTCTCCAGAACGATGTCCATCCGTTACTGGTGGTTCAGAGTCGACATGCCTCTCTTTCATATTTTTCTAAAATTTTCTTTTGTATTGCGGCACTATAGCTGAGGTGTTTTCACCTGCAGCTGGGTTGTATACTGATGATGTCGTTCAGTGTATCAACTGGCTTACCCGAGCGACTTCGCAGTCCAGGTGGCCTAGTGTATTTTGGTAACTGTTGATTTAGGGGCTACTGAGGTTTTTTGGGACACCGTTATTTTAGAGGACGATTCTTGCAACAGGACGACACCAGGAAAAGTGTTACAGTGCTTCTCTACATTGCCTAAGTTAAATCGCAAAAAGTACAAGATTCAAGTGTGTAGGCTGAGCGTTCTCGACCTTGCCAATTGGCCGTCCAGTTTTATCTTGTCCTTGCAAATCCGGCGCTGACCGTCCGTGGGTGACGATCTGGTAACTGCGAAGCTTACTTGTGGGCGCAAGCTGTGGGTGCAGACTGTGAGCGCAGTCTGTGAGCATACTTGTCAGACACTAGGGTACTAATGCACCGTGTTTCAATTTCCTAAACATCATGTATCAAGTTTATCCACAAAAGTATTGCCGATATTTTCAAATGTCACTAGTCCATGGTGGATTCATATTTTGAGGTAACTTCAGTGTGCAATTTGACCGCATGTGCAACCACGCGTTTACATTACAGTGCGTACTGATTATCTGTCGTGTAGAACGTCTTCCGCCTGTTTGCAGTTAATATGTTTTTGCCGACAATCTATGCTATTCTGGATTCCATCACTGTTGGTTCGCTATGATCTGATCACCGCGGACCAGATCGCCAAAAGAATAAGCATATTTGGTAGCAATAAGAAAAGTCGAAGAGAAAAAAGAACTCATGTGGACAAGCAATCAGCCCAGGGAGAATGATTGAAGATGTACATTGCTTAGATGAAAGTGTCATCAGCTCGTAATGCTTTATTGTTCTGTGCCGGCCAATTTCTAAGCAATAACACCCGGACCAAACAGTCGTACTCAATTTGACCAGTTTCTTTACTCAATTTCCCCTTACTGTTTTAGCATATCATAGACTTTTCAGCTGTTGGTTTCGTCCAACCGACCAGGAGATCGACTAATGTCTAACGAATGTGGTCTAACCAGTTTAAACGGTTCCAGTTCAAGAGACGACCCAGGGCGGCACCAAGGGCTCTGCTACCGAGCACAGCATTTCTCATTCCACGTATCTAACAGATACTGGCCGTGCTACACAGATACATTTGGACGAAGCAATCATATCCTTATATTCCGAATGTGCAGCAGCTAGGTCTGCCATCTTTACTCTGATACCAAATATAATTCAAATTATGCACTACTCTTGAGTACCATAACATAATGTCACGCCGTCTGATTGTCGGATTCATTAAACTTTTACACAAATCTTAAGCCTTTGCAAAGTATCGGTTGTTTTAAACCCGTTCGCCTGTTTCACATTCGTCAGCCGAGTTATTCGAACTGTCGTAAATCCCTTCGAAACCCGAACACTATGAACTGCGGAGCCAAGCTGTTTCAGTTGCTTTCTACAGGATTTGTTCGATGCGTTGAACAGCGGTAACACAACAAACGGTATAGCTTGGGGGTAGAAGAATACTTTGTATTCATCTAACAACGAAGGCGACTTCCATCAGCGCCACATTTAGTTGCATCCGTCAGCAACAGCTGACGATCTAACTATGAGTTTAGATTACAGTTTCAGCGCACTTAATGGACACCGCAAGAGTGCGCTTCCTCTTTCTTCCTTCTTTTTGCAAGCACCATGGCTGAGGTGTTTTCAACCTCTAGCCTACGCGTATAACGATGATAATTTTTCTTTCTTTATTTCCATCTGATTGCAATGTGCTGTGACACAATAACTGGGGGGAAGGAGGTTTCTAACCCTTTGCTAATGTGTATACTGAAAGAACGAATGATAGCGAGCTGATAATTGACGTGAATTCACTCGAGATAGCGCTTAGCGTTCACACCTGGTGCATATCTTTACTACCATTCTTTGCTCTTATTGAGTGATACCTTTTCCTACCAGCTTTAGGAACCGGGCGATTGACCTGTCCGCGACGATTGGTTACTAACTTTTGGAACCCACATAGATAATCGCAGAATTTCACGGAACGTCAACATCAATTGCTGTGGCTTTTGAAACAAGATCACCGGTCAGCTTTTCTGGACAGTAGTCGCAATTCCTGTGGTGCTTGGTGTGCAACGGTATAAGTTACCTTGTTGCTTCTTCGTTAAACCTTCTGCTTAATAACAGGAACCTTTACTTCTGTAAATTTGGTTTTTGAATTCAGGTTCACTCATAATTGACGCTTGCTTTTTAAGTGCATGCTTCATAGCCACTCATTTGGCACGAAATTTTCACATTACTACGTAGTCTCAAACTGGATGTTCAGTTCGATCCCATTTTCCTAGGTTATTTTCAAGGTGGAAGAGAAAAACCCCGTCACAGCAAAAGTTTCGGTCACTCGTAGCACAGATGGCACTAACAAAATGTACGGTTCCGTACGGGTTAATGATCTGTTCCGTGGAGCTGAATTTGCCGATCTGGATCTCGAAGTGGGAACCAATTGGTTCGCATCAAGGTAACTGTCTTTGTGCTTACGTACCGTTGCCATCTAAAGTAACGCATCTCTTTCTTCCTTTGGGTTAACCATTTGTTGCTGCAGATTAACATACGGTGACACGGCTATAGGTCAATACAAGACAAGGAAGAACTGCTATTTTGTTCCATGTTTCGTCATCATTTTAGTTGTTCGAAGGGTACTCAAGCCGATTTTGTTGTGTTGCACCTTGGTAACTAACTAGTTTCTTTAAATAGGGATCGCGTTTCTGATTCTGGTCGCTGCCGCCATTTGTTTCCCAATGAAAGCCGCCGCTCAACTGCAAAAGTTCCTTCTATCACTTCCTCGTGGTTTGCTATTGTCACCTGTCTGCGGAGTTTACGCCTATCTCATTGATGAAACTGCCCACATGTTTCATACCACGAGCTGCTGGCGTCCACTCCGGTAGACGTTGGTTCTACCTCATTTAAATGCTGAGCAACTGTTTTGTCACACTAATCATCCAAACGACCACAATTGTTATTTTTGACAGTCACGTCTAGTGCAGTTGATCATTATTGTGTGTGAACGTCTGCCTACAACATTTGCGGTATTTTCCTCACTTTTGTGATGTCTGCCAGGCTTATGAGCCCTAACGAGAATCTTTGCTCTGGGATCCAGCTCCAATTTGGTTTCGATTAAGAATATTACGAATCTTTGCTTCTGACTTGTCTCATCCCAACTTGTAGCTATACTTGGTGGGGGTTTGAGGTCAAATGTGGGCTGAATGGACGTTGTTGGGTACTCTGACACACAACACTGCTTTGGTATTCCCACCTTCAACCTGTATGATCTAGTCCACTTCTCAGAAGGTTACATCCTCCTTAGATATCGATTGACAGAACAAGTTACTTACGCCTCAGAGATGCCCCGACTGCCTCTCATCAACATCATCAACAGCAGTACGTCAACCACTACGCTGCCGCACAACCATAACGACCTGTGGAACGAGGAACAGTAAAATGGAGATATGGGGTATCTACGATAAAACCTGAGTGCCCCCAAAACAAACAGCCGGGGTCAAAGCGCTTACACCTTGTCAACGGCATACCATCACAAACAGCTGGCTATCATGCAAAGATAAGGCGGCATCGGCTAGACAGCTTTCTTGCGGCTTTCACTGTCCCGCGTCATAATCAACCATTACCTCGCAGATAGCTCAGCACCAAACACGCTTTAAACAGGCAGTCCGACTAGGAGGCGGCAGCAGAAACGCCATGTCCTGTAAAGTCTCGAGTCAAGCACAAGGCGGGTCAGGTGGACTCCGGCCCGGAAGCCGAGATGGACCGACGTCACGGAGTTGGGTTGTCAGTGACTTCATTTCCTGCTGCCAAGTTATTTTTTGCCCACCTCAGATCTTGCGCCACCTTACATCTGGCAGACAAAAGGCCCTCCTCGGTAAGCGGTGACCAGGCATACGTAGTACGTGCCCAAGCCAACGCAACTTATTCAGTGCTGTCTGTTGTTCTAGGAAGCTAGCCTGATTATCACTACCCAGCACTCGCTTACGCACATCATTGTTGCGGACACGTTGGTGTCATCCGGTACCAACAATGCTTCGCAAGTAACAATGATCAAATACTTAAAGTCGCCTTAGGTCCTCAGATCGGAGGGGCGAAGTCTCGTTTCCATAGACTTGGACAGCCCTCACTATGGTCTTTCTGTCACCAAAGATGTCGCAAGTTCAAAAGGCAGTTTTGGCTTTACCAATACATGAACAGACCTCATTAGGTACGCACCCATCGTTGCTGCTACAGCTGCCCAGGTAAGTGAATTGATCAACTACCTGAGTTCCTTGCCATCAATGGGTCAAGTGGGTGGTGGTACTACAGCAACACTGCACTTTGAGGGTGCGAAGCGCATACCAAATAACGGGACCACTTTAGAGAAGCTATTCAGGGTTGACTGTACCGCCCTAACATTAGCGAGACTATATCGCCCGCATAATGAAGATCAACTAGCCTTTCATCTGGCAGGACCTCGACGCCTACATCGCGTGATTCCGCAAGGGAACACTCCATGATGGAGTTCACGGCGAAATCGAACGAAATGGGGAAACTGGACAACGCTGACGGATGCCACTAGTTGTTGGAAAGGCATCCGACAGATCACTGTAGACCTTAAAATGGACGTGTGGTGTTGCAGTACAGGCACGTAAAATGTTCACCTATTTCATAGGAACACCTTTTCACGCAAGTATTTCAAACAAACTGCATCGGTTGATTGTGTCAAACGTATTCCTGAAGTCGAGGAACACGGCTGTTGTCCGCCTGCGGTACGTGTGGTATATATATATATATATATATATATATATATATATATGTAATGGTTGGTGGCACCACCAACAGCTCTAACCATACACCCCATATCTCGTATAAACCCGAAGGAATAAGACCGGGAGGCATGTGGATGGGAGCCAGGTTTTATCAACGGAGCCGGCCCACACTCCTTCACAGGCAAACACAAGCACGCTGTATTTGGGAATCAAGCGCACACAACGCCGTGGCTGGACCGTAATCCGCTACACACTGAGTGCATGGAACCAATCTTCAAGCCTAGAACGGCCACAAGGACCGTGCACCCCTTCCCTTCCAGCAACAACCAACTGTCTCCTGGAACCAGTATGGACAAGGTAGTGGGTAATAGACAGGTAGGCACATTGTCAACATGCACATCAAGCGCAGCCACACCGGGGATATCACGCAACAGCCAGTCACTTGAAACGACGATATCAAATAAAATTAACGGACTAATGCATACAGATACGGTGACGTAACTCTACACTAAATGAGCGTTGAAAATAAGTTGGTTACGAACGAATCCGCGATAAGTTCAATACGTCAGCAAATGTATCCTAAGAAAATGCCATAACCGCAAAATGTTATCGAAGTTAAATACAGTTAGCTTAAGCGACGTGTGCAAGTTTATAGAAGATAGTTCGGGTAGACATTAAAATGAGAAAGGTAAGCATTAGGACAAAATTGCAAACCACCATCTGCAATAAAGAGACTAAGCATGTAAGCGCGCGGTTAGTAAATCGAATGCAGCGTACTTACAAACGCTGCGCCGGTTCTGCCTACGTTCTCTGCAGAACCTGTCGTCGCGTCAGTAGTGGTCCCGAGTGGCCTCGCTCTTGGATCACTAGGCCTGTCTGACTCAAGAACTCGTGACCCAATGTGATACAGCACCATGCACTCGATGTCGATGGAGAACAACCCATCGGTGCTTGCCGCCTCCGAACTTCCCGCATCTTCTCTGCACGTATGTCTTTCTCCCCGCACTTCGGCAACGGCCTTCGTGATTAGATCGCGCCATGCACGCCGATCAACCGATTCACATGACTTGCAATCAAATTAAGAACGCGAGAGGCTCACTTTGATCATGTCCTGATAACGCAACTTTGGTTTCTCCACATAACGCTTCCCAATGCTCAGCTGACCAAATAGAGATGTTTCCGTACCGCGTCGAATCCATACGGTCCAAAAGACCGAACCACCTCAGGTGTCTCAGCAAAAATACGCAGTCCACTGCATACATTCCACTTCGACGCAACACTTCCGTGTCCGCAATTCTGTCGCCCCAACCGGTGCACAGAATTCGTCGCAACCACCGCTGATTTAACCTCTCGAGATATCGCACATCCCGCCAGTACATCGCCCACGTTTCACTGCTGTATAGAAGAACGGACAGCACTATGGATTTGTACACCATCAACTTCGTGCCAATGGTAAGCTGATGGTTGTTCCACACTCGGTACTCTAGCTTCCCGAATGCCGCCGCTACCCTCGAGACGCGGATACGAAGCTCACTGTGAAGCTGTTGTTCAGCCGACACCACATTCCCAAGGCAGCAGAATCGGCAAGTGATTTCCAATACTTCAGCTCCTATGCTGATTCGCGGCAATATTGCAGATTGCACCTCCGGTGGAGTCTAAAGAAAACAGAGCGTTTTGCTTGTGTTGATGGTGAGCCCGAATTTCGCCGCTGTCGTAGCCACAGCACTGGTCATGTCACAACCCATTCGCGAAGTGTGCAAACAACGCACAATCGTCAGCAAACAGCAACATACGGATAGTTGTCTCACAGACTAGGGTTCTCGCACCGAAACGACAGGTGTTTAGCGACCAACCATCAACATGATACTCCATATGAATACCGTAAGTACAACCCACATAAAAACACAATACATCATCGTATGAACATATAAATTAAACACAGGCAGGAGCAAAGACACAATCTTGCTTTACACCAGAGGTAACTGCAAAGTCATCCGAGGTCTGTCCGATCAGCTGCACCCTCGCCCGCATACCACTGTGCAGACATTCAATTAAACTCACAAACTTACTCGGACAACCAAACTTACCCAACACCAGTCACAATGCCTCGCGGTTCACCATGTTGAATACATTGATGAAATCAACGAAAAGCGAGTACACCGGCTGGTCTCGTTCTCTGCACTTCTCCTGCAACTGTCGAGCCGCAAACACCATGTCTTTTGTGCTGCGACCCGAGCGGAATCCACACTGCTCTTCCGCCACATTAGGTTCTACAACCTGACTGACGAGGTGGCTGAGCAGCATTCGGGCGATCACCTTGCCCACACAACTCGCCAAGCTGATGCCATGGTAATTCCTGCAACATTTCTTGCTCCCTTTGCACTTGTACAGTGGAAGCACAAGGACATCCTTCAGCTCAGCAGGCACCTCCTCCACGATCCACACGAGTTGCACCAAGTGGTGTAGCGCAGTCAACAAAGCGGGTCCGCCGTATTTCCATACCTCAGGCGGGATCCCGTCGGCCCCAACACACTTGCCATTGCGCACCTCAGTAAGTGCTCTCTGCGTCTCATCCAGTGTCGGCGTCTCCACCAGACTCGTCTTCACATCGTGCTCTTTCAGGCCATTTAAAGTAGGCCAGGCGATCTCTGAACGATTGTTCAAGAGACAGTCAAAGTGTTTCCGCCAGAGCTGCATTATGTCTGCAGTCTGTGTGCAGGTAGTGCCTGAGCTACCATCGATCAGTGTCCTCAGAGGCTCCAATCTCGGTCCATACACCGCCTTTAAGGAGTCAAAGAATTCCTTGTGTTGGCGGCGTTCGGCGTAGCATTCCATCTGCTTCGCCTTCTCCGTCCACCATGCACTTTTTATGCATATATATATGGTTGGCGACATCCGGTTTCGGATTTGCCTGTCACTGTGGCAAGCCACAGGACGCCTGCGCCTACAGAGGGACCATGGATGGCTTGCGCTGCACCACCCACAGCTCCAACCACCCACCCCATATCCAGTGTAAACCCGAAGGAATAAGACCGGGAGGCATGTGGATGGGAGCCAGGTTTTATCAAGGGAGCCGGCCCACACTCCTTCACAGGCAAACACAAGTACACTGTATTTGGGGAATCAAGCGCACACAAGGCGGTGGCTGGACCGTAGTCCGCTCCACAGAGTGCATGGAACCACTCTTCGAGCCTAACACGGCCACAAGGACCGTGCACCCCGTCCCCTCCAGCAACGACCAACTGTCTCCTGGAGCCAGTATGGAGGAGGTAGTGGGTAATAGACAGGTAGGCACCTTGTCAACATGCACATCAAGCGCAGCCACACCGAGGATATCAAACAACAGCCAATCACTTGAGAGAGAGAAAGAAAAAGAGAAAAGCTCGATTAATGCATAAGGAAACGGTGACATAAACCTTAATTAAATAGCATAGGTAATAAGTTGTTTACAGACACATCCTAGCTAAGTGCACGAGGTCAGGAAGTATAGTTCACGGTATGCCACGAACACAAACATGTTATGGAAATCGAATACAATTGGCTGAAGCGATGTGTGCAAGTTAATGGAATAGAGTACAGGGAGATATTTATATGAGAAAGAAAAGCAGTAAGGTAAAAACTGTAAACCCACCACCTGAAATAAAGGGACTTAGCATGCAAGCACGCGGTTAGTAAATCGAATTCAGCGTGCCTACAAACGCTGCGCCGGCTCGCCGTAATTCTCTGCAGGACCCGTCGTCGCTTCTGTAGTGGCCCCAAAGGACCTAGCTCATGGCCCACTAGACATTTATATGAGAAAGAAAGGAATTAAGAGAGAACCGAAAACCCACCACCTGAAATAAAGAGACTTGGCATGCAAGCATGCGGTTAGTAAATCAAATTCAGCGTGCCTACAAACGCTGCGCCGGTGCTGCCTACGTTCACTGCGGGACCCGCCGTCGCTTCGGCAGTGGTCCCGAGTGACCTCTCTCATGGCTCACTAGGCCTGCCTGACTAAGGCACTCGCGACCGCATGTTCTACAGCACAATGCGCTCGATGTCGATGGAGTACAATTCATCGGTGCTTGCCACTTCCGCAACTGCCGCTTCTTCTCTGCATGCATGAGGGATTTCTCCCGCACCTCAGCAACTGCCTTCGTGATTAGATCGCGCCATGCACCACGATCAACCGCCTTCGATTCCCATGATATATATATATATATATATATATATATATATATATATGGCGGGAGAGCCTATGGTGCGCTGAGGCTGTTGGTGGCTAGATCCTGACAGATGGTCTACTCGCTGCTGCTACTGTTGCGCCATCGTCTCATGTCCTGGGCGCCTCCACGTGGTGACCGCTGGGTGGGATATGGGTTTCTCCCTTCTCCCTGCTAAGAT